TGACTAGGGATGATAGAAGGAGAACTGACGCCTTTGAGCTGTGGTGCTGGAGAAGAATGCTGAATATACCATGGACTGCTAGGACAAACAAGTTCATCCTGGAGAGGGTGAATCCAGGCTGCTCCTTGAAAGCAAGGATTCTGATGCTTCATCTGACATACTCTGGACATGTTCCAAGGCGGGATTAGTCCTGGGAGTGGGACGTCATGTTTAGAGGGTAGAGGACAGTGCAGGCGAGGAAGATCCTCAATGAGATGGATTGATTGAGTGACTGGGGTAATGGGGGTAACTGTATCAGAGACAATAAGATTGGCACAGGATATAGTAGGGTTTAGGGTTATTGTACACAGAGTCACTACGGGTCACAGGCAACTGAATGGCACATAACAACAAGTCATAAGTGAGATGAGATGGACTAGATTTGACCACTTTGAATCAGATGGTATATCATTCTAGGAATGAAAAACAAAAGAATTGAGTTGCATTCATAGTTAAGAAGTTAATTTCAAGTTCTATTCTGAAATATAATGTTGTGATAGGATACATATGCACACAAGGAAGATCCGTTGAAACCACTATTATTCAAATATATGCTCCTACATCAAGAACCAAAGAGGAAGAAATCGAAAAATTTTACCCAATCTCACGGTCCAAAATTGACTGAGCATGCAATTAAGATGCATTAATGTTAACTAATGAATTCAATGCAAAAGGTGGATATGATGAAGAAAGAATAGTAGTTGGAAAATATGTGCTTGGTGAAAAAAATGAGACTGGAAATTAAATAGCTCAATTTTGTATTTTCATTGATTTATTCATTGCAAATATTTTTTTGAAAAGACACAAAAGGCAATTTTATACATGTTCCTCACCTGATGAACTGCATAGAAAGCAGACTGACTACATTTGTGGAAGGAATTAGAAGCAGTAGCTCAATGCCAGCAGTCAAAATTAGGCCAGGGGCAAACTGGGTGTCAGATATTCAATTTTTCATGCACAAGTTCAAACTGAGGCTGAAGAAAAGGAAAACAAGTTCAAGAGAATCAAAATATGATCCTGAATCTATTCCAACTGAATTTAAAAATTATGTTAAGAATACATTTGAAGCATTGAACATCAGTTATTGAAGACCAGATAAACTGTGGGATGATACTTAAGGATATAATCCATGAAGAAAGTGGAGTCATTCTGAAAACTGCATTAGAGCATCAGGAATCCAAAACAAAGGGAAAACATGTCATAGTAAAAGAACAGAAGATTTCAAAGTGCAACTTGAGAAAACAAAGCAAAATATTGTAAGGGAATGAACAGAGGGGTGGATTTGGAGAATTAAAAGGAGGGAAGAACTCTCCATTTCTCAAGCTGAAAGAACTGAAAAATAAATTTAAGCCTTGAGTGTCAATATTGAAAGATGCTACGGGCAGTATACTGAATGACCCAGAAAGCATCAAAAGAAATGGAGTGTATACATAGAATTACTGTACCAGAAAGGACTGACTGACACTGAAACATTTCTGGATGTACCAGATGAGCAGGAGCCAATGGTAATGAAAGAGGAAATGGAAGCTGAGCTGAGGCACTGAACAAAAAATAAGGCCCTAGGAATCGATGGGATACTAATTGCCTTGTTTCAATTAATAGATGCTGCCTTGGAAGCACTTATCAGTCTATGTTAAGAAATTTGGAGGACAGTTGTCTGTTAAATGGATTGGAAGAGGTCCATAATTGTCCTCATTCCCAAGAAAGGTGATCTAGGTGGACTGACACAGTGACTGTCTCAATGGGCAATAAATAATGCATCAGGAAGTGTGAGGATGGCACAGGACAGGATAGGGTTCAACTGGACAGCACCTAAGAAAAACGACTGTCATTAGTAACTATTTGGTGTCTTTTGCCCCCTTTACCAGACTCCTGGGGTGGAAGTCTGTGTGCATACCCACATCTCCACATCCACACTCACACTCTGGTATGTGCAAAGCTTTATGAAAGAACTCGCTAGCCTGTAGGACTGCCTGGTTTGCACTTGCTAATAATTGTGTAGCTGAAGGATGAGCTAGATTAGAGGTATGTTTCTTTGACAGTTTGGTAAAAAAGGCAGTCTCTCGCTTTCCCATAAAAAAGTGATATAACAGTTTCAAGACTGCATCTTTCAAAGGCAGAAAGCTTGTGTGACCCAGGGAAGTGAGGCAGTCTGTGGGTTTCACTGCACAAAGTTAGTGACCTGATTTCTTACTGCCATTGAGTGGAACCCACACAAAGCTGACTTTTCAAAGGGTTTCCAAGGTTGTCAACTGAGAGAGGATACATGGCCTATCCTTCTACTGCAGAACTGCTGGGGGTGTGAACCACCAGAGAGCTTCCTCGATGGAGATTAGGGACATGTATGGACAAAGTCAAAGACTAAAACCAAAAGATGTTTTTATGTCACAAAATGCCACAACTCCTGGTGGGGCACTGTCAGAATCTTTCAATTATTGATACTTTGGAATATCATCAATAAGAAGTAAAGAGAAATTTATAAAAATATGAACCTATAACAAATTTATTTATGATGTTTGCAACAGTCAATCTAGTTTTTCTTATCTCCTTCAATAGGTATACAATGATGACACTTTGCCTAAATTCGTTTCAACCATCACTTCCCAGGTTTTACCTACATTTAAGAATTATTTCTTGATAGAATATACTGTTCTAAGGTTAAGGCTTTTACAGCATGCTGTCTGAACCAATAGATAGTGTCCTATCTAAGAAGGGAACAAGTCAGTCATCCATCTACTTCCACAAATCTATGCCAACCGTAGTCCCACAAGGGATGGGCTGCCACTCATCCAGGTCTGTGCTAGTAGAGTGTCCCCCTGACACTGTCTACAGCCCTTACCTGGAGGGACCTGAGAACTTCCTCACTTTTTACTCTGAAAACTCAGGGGAAAGAGAGAGGTGTATTTTGGGATCAGAAAACTGATAGTTAACCTTTTAAACTTGACTCACACATCTGAATTTTCACATTGATGCCCAGAAAAGGAACTGAGCTTCTCCCTTTGCACACATCCAATTGTAACCCCATTTTAGGACTATTTCCATGCTTCCCACTGTTCCAGCATTTAGATGGGGATCCACTGAGAGATCCTGGAGGCTGAAGTCAGCTGGAGAGATCAAGGAACTATATTTTTACATTATTATACCTAATACTTTCATAGTTAATTAACTTATTACACAAAGTTAGATAATCACTGGGATTAAAAAGACAAATCTGAGTACTATTTTCTGAGGGTTTGAGAATACCTGAACACGTGTATCTCAACTTTGGTTTCAAACACTGTATCCTTTTTTTATTAAAATTTCTTTTATTTCATTATTTTTTGTGTGTACTGTCAAATCAGATCTGACTGGTACAGGAGGAGATTGTTCCTCCTTCTCCAGCAGAGCATCTGGTGGATTTGAACCACATACCTCTGAGACTGTAGTTGCAGCTTCTTGCCACTAAGCCACCAGAGCTCGCCACACTGTATCCTTTTAAGTAAAAATTCCTGGTGTTCTTAATCTAGAATACCTAAGACTTAGACCTAAACATGATAATGGGGCCAAATATATTAACTAAAATGTAATGATAACTGAGGAAAAAATATACTAACTTGTTGATTTGATGATAAAGTTTAGCTGTATAAGCTGAGCCATGGATTTTTTTATAACACCTCTTCCTGTATACAATGAAGTAGCTAAAAACACCATCAGTAACTTAGAACTGAAATATACTTTTTCTTTTATCTTACTTCATTTTGCTTTCAATTAATTTTTTTCTTTTGCATTTAAATACCAACTATCAAAAGCTAAAGGAAAACAGCTATGAGGCCACCAGGGCTGGGGCCAGGCAGTCTACTGCTGATTACTGCTCTGACAGCTTAATCTGCTTAGTGTTTTATTGGCAGTTCTGAAAGGTATTCAAATGCAGGTTCCATATGAGGAACTACCATGAGTTTTAGAAATCTACTAACATGAAATTTTGTTGAATTTGCATTCAAATAAATGGTACCTTAACAGTGCACCTGCTTGTTTCTATGATAATAGGAAGAGGGTAATGATGCTCACACAGATGTGGTGATGACTGTCACCCTGGTACTGCTGGTGCTATTCCCCTTTAACAGTTAATCAGTGCTCTCTATAATTCAACCATATCATGTATCTCAGTAGCAAAACTGTGCCACAGAAATCTAAAGTATGTTTTGTTAATATTAACACATTAAAAGATTCTATTGTTTTGTTACTGTCAAGATAATTTTTAATGATTTTGCAAATTGTATGATCAGTGCTATTTTGTAGTTCAGGAGTAAAATATTTCCTAGCTAAGAAAGGACTTTGAGCTCTAGTAGCCTAATGGGTAAGGAGCTGCACTATCAATGCAAAGGTAAGATGTTCAAATCAATCAGCTGCTTCTCAGGAGAAAGAGGAGCAAATTCCTCTGGTGCGATTGATAGTCTCTGACAACCCAATGGAGGGTCAGCTTGAATCAGCTCCCCCCCCCACCCCACACCCGGACAACAATGAGATGGAAGTAAGGCATTATTCTGTGGTTTCTTCCTAATCAAGGTTTCAAAACACTTAGCTATTTTATATAAAAGTATATTATGCTATCATATTATCTGTTGTTTGTTGTTGGACGCTGTCTAGGCAGAACCTACTCAAAGCTGACCCTTCGGCATGTTTTCAGAGGCAGTTCAATCACAGGAGAGGAGACTGCCCATCCTTCTTCCTCTGAGCAGCTGGTGGATTTGAATCACATGCCTTTGGGATTGCAGCACAGCTTCTTACCACTAAGCTACCAGAGATCCCTTTCTAAATCATTGTAGATACATGTCTATAAATTATCCATAATAAAACCTTATTTTATACGTTTTTGTTTCCATACCTTATAAGGTTTTATTACATCATTATGTATTTATAAGAATGCATAGCCTAATTATAGTAAGAAATGATAATAAATTAACAATAAATGGATGTAGTACCTCATATAAAGTGATTACTCCATATGTTTGAGTTGGTTCTCGCCATTGAAGAAAAATCTTCTCTTCAAAGGTACTTCCTTGGATGGATTCAGTAGGAACAGCACCTGGGACTAAAAGAGGGATGAATGAGTGAATGACAAATCAGTACCTAAAAATAAAATCTTTAAAATAAATTTCTCTAGGCCTGACTATTTTTAAATTTCCATTGAGACAAAATATATTAAGAGCCTATAATTTTCTTAATTTTCTTTTTGACCCACACTTATTTATTCTCAGAAGAAAGAACCATTTAAGTACATTTTCTTTAAAGTTTAAAATAATGAGAACTCCATCATCCTTTCAAAAGGTTTTCTCTTCCTTCAAAAATAAATTTAAAAAGACTGGGATTGTAAGACTTACACTATGGCAATGTCATCATGGAAAACAATATGGCAGTATTTAATAAAACTTAAACTAAATCTATTTTTTTTTAAACTAAATCTATTATACAACAAAGACACCCAAGCATTGAGGACTCTCCTTCATAGGATTGCTATGAGTCGCCTGCGATTCAACGGCACTTAACAAGAACAAGAACAACAACAACAAAATCTATAAGAATGCTACTGCTGAAGTGTTTTCAGTATAAGTAATAGGTTTAAAACAACCCCAAAGGCTTAATAACCATCCTTTTATTAGCTGGAAGTTGATGGAGAAATTAATTTGAATAGACACAAAACAAAAGAAGGTTAACAATTCATAAAAAACAAGCCCCAAATTGGAAGACTTCATCAGAGAATTCTTAGAATTAAGAGGAAAGCTGACAACAGCTCTCCTCAAATTCTTAAAGAACACAGAAAACAATGGAATAACATAAACTCATTCTATAATCCTATGATAACTGTGATTATCAAAACCATGCAAAAAACAAATAAGAAAAAATAAAATTCTATTAGCATAGACATAAAAATTGTAGAGCGATGGCTACATGATGGAGGGGACCTAGGGGAGGGTTTGTAAAATAATGAAATAATCTTTTCTTTTACTTTTCCAAGAGAGTAATGTGTGGTGGGGGGGAGCCTTGGGAGGGGACAAATCTACAACAATCAATAAATGGAAATCCAAAGCCTCTGTAAATTTTCACTGAAATTAATAACAAATTTAAATTAAAAAA